GACTCTGTTAAGCAAAGACTCAACTTCAGACGCAAGTTTGTCCCGGTACTCTGCGACGTTTTCCCGAGAAATATTGACACGATCGTTGTATAAACAATCACCAGTGCTGTCGTCTGCATAGCAATGAATGTTACCGGTTTGCAACATATTATTGATATGCAGGAGAAACAGTCTTGGTGATAGCACACAGCCTTGTGCAACGCCAGCATTAATGGGCTTGTAATCGGAGTATGCACCGTCTACTACGACCTTGATGCTCCGACCATCAAGAAAACTGGTGATGCAATTGCACAATTTCTCGGGAAGTCCATAGGAAAGGATCTTCGAAAGAAGCGCTTTGTGCCAAACCCGATCGAAGGCCTTCGCTATGTCCAAACTAACGACCAACGCCTCCCCATATGTCACTACTGCCTCCCCTCATTTATGATTTAGGTAGCCCAGAAGATCACCAGCCAAGCGACCGCGACGGAAACCGTACTGGCGAAACGTCACTAATCAGCTGGTGATCCTCAAGGTACCGCATGAGCTGGTTGTTAAGATTGGATTCCATTATTTTAGAGAACAAGGAGGTGATGGCGATATGCCTACAGTTGGACAGATCAGAGCGGTTACCTTTTTTGGGGATCGGGTACGCGAGGGCTGTCTTTCATGATTTCTGGTCGACGCCTAGGGAGTAGGAGTACCAGAAAAGACGCATTAAAACCGGTACCGGTGCCGGTACGGACACACAATCGGAGGGACGCCATCTGGCCCACTTGACTTGTTGACGTCCAGGGAGAGGAGTGGTCTGCGCACTGAGCGTTGGGTAAACAGGACATCCTGCATGAAGCACTCACTCCGCTAGATGGTTGGCGGTGTGTTTCCCCCGTCATCAAGAGTCATCAAGAGTCGAGTTGGACGCAAAGATAGAGCCCAGCAGAGGCTTTGTTCTTTGCGTCATGGGCCAGTGAGTTGTCCTCTCTGTGCAGAGATGGGAGAGATGGCTAACAGAAGTTTCCTTGGACAGCCGTGGCGAGAAAACAGAATGCGCGTGTTCCCAAAGGAAGATGTACTAGTTTCTCGCCAATTCTGCCGATGTGCTCTGACTTTTCCTTGAAAATGACATTTTTGAAGGACCTGGAGGCAGAATTGTACTTGTTTTTAAGAGCGCTGGTATTTGCATCCCGAGACGTCTATGCGCGGGCCCAGGCCTGGTAGCTTTCTTGCTTATGACCGACCAAATATAACGATAGATAGCGACCAAACCATAGCTGGGTTCTGCCTCCGATAGATACCACAGATGATGGAATAAAAGGTTCCATTCCCTGTAGCACCATATCAGCGATAAAAACAGCAATAACGCTGGGATCATCCAGCGAAAAGCAAACCCGTCTCCAAGGGTAGGATGCAAAAAAAGATCGCATCCCGTCCCAATATGCTGACCTATAAACCCAAAGCAAACACGGCGGCAACCTGTAGTACGCAACCGCGATGAGAGCGTGAGTGGCACCGTACTCCAGAACAATGATCCGAGGAGCCAAGAGGGGCATCGACGGAGACCTGATATCCCCGTCCGGATGAGAGGTCAGCAGAAATTCCAACAGGGAAGGTACATGCTCTTCTACATTTGAGATCCGCGAAGGCGAGGTAACCAATTGTATCAGACCATATGCCAAAGCAAAGTCATAAACAGATCCACCCACATGATCGGTTAAACGAGAACCAAGCCATTCAGCGTGGTGGGCGTTAAAATCACCAAGTATCACAATCTTTGCGGATGGGATCTGCTGCCAAGCACGGAGTCTATAGCTATCTGGATGTGGTCGATGAGTCGATCTGTTTCGGCATTACCGCTATGTGACCTAAAGAGGCACCAGTAGACGTGGGGATGGTCATCCACGCTCAGGAGTGGAGTAGCTTGGTCGTGGATGCTCAGCGGGGGATTCTCCAGGGGCGCTGGTACCCTCCTTGGGTAGTCTTGCATTTAATTCTGATACCATTTTGATTGGGCCTCCGGCCACCTATACTCACCAGACGAAACGCAGAAGTAAAGCCTCTACTTCACGCTGGTCTTCTGTGGTGTCGTGGTACCACCCCGGTTTTAGCTGCCCCATGCTTGCATCAGCAAAGGCTGCCGCGTGGCTCTACCAATGTTTAAATTATATCCGAACTCAGCTCAATCTGGGGGCACGGCAGTGCCCCCGCCGAGTCGAGCAAAAAAGCGGCACGGCCGTACCATACTTTTCTCGAAGCAATTTAGGCCATTTTCGACCCCCTATAACTTCGTTATGGATAGAACTAGAAACTTTAATTTTCAGAAACCAAGCAGGTATTGTATAAACACGGTATATTTCAGATTTTATTCAATTTGAACCAGTAGTTTAGGAATTATAATTAGTCAAAGTTTCTTAATTTTGTCACTCACTGACTGACCAATCATAAAAACTCTAAGGTACTTCTAGCAGACATAGAAGCTTCAAACTTAGAACACAATTGGTCTTTAGTGTATAAATCAAGGAAAAACTAAAAAGTTTTTTAATTTCGGTCCAGTTTTCTAGATACACTAACTGCATAAATAACTTTGTAATCCCATATAAATATAAAGGATTACAAAGTGAATGAATCAGTGTACCTGTATATGTATAATATAATGGAATAAAAGATGTAGGTAGGTACTTTGTTGGTAATCAAGAAGTAGAAGGTACCGGAAGGAAAAAAAGTAGAAATATCTTCAAAAAGACATTAGTTCAATATAATATATATATGTCGGAAATAGTGTGTAACACGATAAACCAAAATTGTGTGGGAAATAACAGGATAGTGTTAATTATTAAAAATGGTAAAAATGTGAGAGCTGATGTTCAACTTGCTCTCTTGCTTGCGCAATTTATTGTTATCAATAATAGGACAGCGTAACGCTCTATACATTCAGCATAGAGTAATTACAGTTTGACCATACTGAAGTGTATCCCCGTCACAATTACACACCGGCGCAATGTGAAGGACACAACTACATGATTGTTGGAGCGGAAAACCTAGTGGTTGTTTTTATGGTGAGGCAGCACCACTGTCCCCATTTGACAAGGGTTCAGTCGAGCTACCGCATATCGTTTCCATTGTAATGAAAGAGATCTAAGACCACACACTTTTAATTTTGCACTACAACTTTATTCTACACTTCCTATTATGAGACTCACAAATAATACTTGCAAAGTTTTACCAGGAAAATAGAACTACACTGACGAGCGCTGGAACTGAAGTGATTCTGTTGCCGCGTTCATTCAATAAGGAAAACGTAATAACGACTTAGGTGTGCTCTGATTGGTCGACGATTTGATTGGTCAATACTTAACTAAACAATAACTTTTTATTGAATTCATTAGGTTACTTAAGCAATTTCAATTATCAGGATTATTAATCAAATCGACAATTATTTATTCTACGATTTAAAACCATATTTGAGTTAAAAGTTGATAATGGAATAAATAGTTGTTTTACCAGGAATTAGTGGTCAATAAAGAGATTTGTAAACCAAAAGAGTTTTAAAGAACTAGCTAGTTACATGTTATGTTTCTGATAAATTGCTCTTATTAAATTGTAGTATTAATAATTATACACCGTTGATTATTATAATCAATTAAAAGACAATGCAAAGCTTATGCTTTGTCAACCGATGATGTACTTGCTCCGACATATATATATATATATACAAATAAATATATATATATATATTGCATGCCATTATATGCGCGCACTCATACCTTTCTTACATTACATAACTTTAGCGTGAATATTAATATTTTTATCTTTATTTTTTTTAAAACAATATTAACAATATTATAAACATTACTAATATTCCCCTTAACCACTCGTGGTAAGCTTAAATTGCTTGTGTTATGAGTGGTTCACGCCAGTAGTCGAATGGCGGATTCGAACCCACGACCTTTTTGAGTTCGCGGTCCGCGCCCTACCATTAGGCTACTGTCGCTTCGATGTCGATTTGACAGTTAATTATTATGTAAAAACCATGCAAATAGTAATGTAAGTGCTATGGAAGAGTGGAGTCTCCTTACACAAGTTTTTATACTTAAAAGGAGACATTCCCTTTTATAATTTATGTATGATCATTTACTGAATAAACTATTTTTGTTTATTATTATTAAACCAATAATAGAAAAATTTACTACTTTTTGCTGTACCCTATTATATAATCTAACAAAAAAAACATGTTCAGACAAACTCGAAAGGGTTCCTTAACTTATCAATGGCTAAAGTTTCGAAAATACGAGTTAAAACGACAATATTATGTTGAAACTAATCACAGGTGAAAAGCCACGTTGTCCTTTGGATTGTTTTTCGCATGGAAATACACTGTATTTCGGCATTTTTGTCGGAGCTTTTGCGCAAGATGCGGAGCAACTAGTTTTATATTACGGTTATGAGTCGGACTCTCGTACCTTTTACAGAGGAATGAGCCTTGCGATGCCGTCTCCTTTGGTTTAATACTCAAAGTTACCAAAATCAACCAGTTTCTCTATAATAGATTTTTATTTCATTAATTCATTGAAGAACAAGAGGACACAAGAAAAAGACAACAAAAAGAGGCTAAAGTAAACTGAAAAAACTGAGCACACGAATTAATTACATACACGAATTAACAGTTTTTAACTTAATTATTCGAAAACTCGCGAAGCCATTTCGCGAGTTTTCCAATAATTAAGTTAAAAACTGTAACTATTGTACGCTTTTGGGTAAAGTCAGCTAATTTTAAATAATCATTAGGTTCTCATCAGTACAGAAAAAATGGAATCTCGATTTCTAGGTTTCAATATAAATTCACAGGATTGATGCAATACTATATATCGATTTAAGAAATCGTTGCCATTTCTATCTCGGATCGCCATCACTAATTATTTATTCATAAATCACAACTCTAGTTCTTTTATCTGTGGTACGTAGAAGCGGCAAGTTCTAGCGGAGTCGTTGCCTTTTTTTGTCACTTTAATTATTATAAATTAAAAATGAATGTCCCTGCTGATGTTCGGGCAGAGGCGATTTCTATTGTATACAAATTTATTCTAAGTTTAGACAAATCCTTAGCCGAAGAATTTTTAAAGAAAGCTAAATCGGTAAGTCCATGTGTATCCAACCACGTGTTTGCAAGTTGTTCTCACGTGGGTTTTTTTTGTAAACTAAGTAAGGAACATTTATTTTACTTATTATAGGTAAACTTATTTTCTTAATTCTCATTATTTGTTGTATAATATTAAGACGGAAGTGTATATACTTAATTGGCGAATTATTGAGGTTGGGCCGGAGTACCCATAGCTGACTAGCATGTATGCGTCATGTATGGAGTATGTATTCATATATCTGGAAGTTAAAATAAGCGAGGGAGAGATAGTATTAGGATCGTACCAAATGAAAACCTTTGGTCTGCCTAGATGTATGGATGTATTATTTATGAAATGTATTACATTTATCACGGCTCAACTCGATTGCTCATCGTCGTCATTGCTTCAGTCCACAGTCGACAGCCCTTCACAATTCCACTGCTGAATATAGGTTTCCGCCAATTAAGGCCACGAAGCTCGGTCCTGAGCCATCTGATGTTCAAACACTCGTTCTTAAATAATTTAGAGATATTCATTTACATATAACTTTTAATAAAATTTCAGAAACCAAGCACTAAAAAGTTGCCAAATTTGACTGATATTATTATTCAATATAAGAAACTGAAAAATAATAATGTTAAACAAGCAGAAAGGTATGAAGCATTAATTAGTTACGTATTGTAAATATAATTGGTATGTTATAAAGCAGCTTATACCTATTTTAGTTCCGATGATTCCAGTGATGAAAAAGATAAGTCAAAAAAGCCTGTTCAAGTTAATGGCAAGGCACTAACAACAAATAACAAAAAAGAATCGTCAGATTCGGATAGTTCTGAAGATGAAAAACCACCTGCAAAATCAGCTAATGTAAGTTTTTGTGAAGGACCATTTTTATTATTTACGACATATTGAATGATGTAAACATAGTAATTGAAATTTAATGATGATAAGTTTCATATTCGTCACTACCTCTGACCATAAAAATATTTGTTTTAGTGCTTGCTTTTTGTCAAAAAATTATGTTAAATGTTGCTTTCGCTTTTCAGACAAAAGCATCTACAAACCTTAAACCACCAATTAAAAAGACTGAATCATCTGATGACAGTGACAGCAGCGATGACAATGCTACAGCTCAGCCTAAAAAACTGCCAGTAAAACCAAAAGTATCAAATGTTACATCAAAAGTAATTAAAAAGCAATCATCCTCTGACGACAGCAGCGATGACGAACCCAAAACACAGAATAAAACAAATGTTTTAAAACCAACTGTGAAACCACCTACTAAACCCACTAAGGCAAATGATTCCTCAGATGATAGTTCTGATGACAGCGATAACAAACAACCTATACCGCAACAAAAAGTGACTGCAAAACCAAAAGCACTATCTGCGAAGCCAACACCTGGAAAAAATGCTGTAATCGAAAAAGAATCTTCTGATAGTGATGATAGCAGTGAAGATGATAAAAGTAAGAAACCAGTAGCAAAGCCCCCTATTAAATCAGTTCCTGTGAAAAAACAAGAATCTTCAGATGGCAGTTCAGATGATAGTGACGATGAAAAACCTCCAAATAAAATCACTACACAGCCTGCTACAGTCAATGCTACCAAGGCAGCCGCTGTTAAAAAGCAAGAATCATCAGATAGTGATAGTAGTGATAACAAATCCAAGAAAATTCAAAAATCAAATCAAAAACCTAGTGGTATGACTAAACCAGTTGTAAAAGCATCAGCACCTAAACCTCAGGTATCTTCTGATGATGACAGCGATGACAGTGATGACAGTGATGATGTAAAGCCTAAAGCAGTTCAGAAAGCTTCAACAAAACCACAAGCCACTCCAGCCAAAAAGCCAAATAAATTAGAAACACCTAAAGCAACCAAAGCATCATCCTCTGAAGATAGTGATGAGGATAGCAGTGATGATGCTAGCAAAAAGCAGCCCAAACCAGTCCCTAAACTTCAAACTACTCCAGCCACAAAAGTTGTTACTAAAAAACAGGAGTCATCATCAGAAGAAAGTGATAGCAGCAATGATGATTCCAAAAAACCTCAAAAGCAGATCTTAAAACCTGGTAACAAGCCTAATATAAAATCTACACCAGCTAAAAAACAAAAATCATCTTCTGAAGACAGTGATGATAGCAGTGAAGACGAGAAAACAAGCTCTTCTAAGCAGAATTTAGCCAGCAAAGTTCAAACTCCTACTACAAAGATGGCTTTAAAAACACCTGTTAAAAAGAAGGAATCTTCAGATGATAGCGATGACAGCAGTGAAGATGAAGGTTCAAAAATTGTACAAAAAACACCATCAAAACAAGCAACAACACCAGCAAAAGTATCTGTTAAAAAATCATCATCTGAGGATGATAGCAGTGAAGATGAAGAGCCAAAGAAAGTCAACCCTTTAGTAAATACACCAAAAACACCAGTAAATCCTAAATGTAGCAAAAAGGATTCAAGTGAAGACAGTAGTGAGGAAGATGAACCTCAACAAACTAAACAATCAAAAAAAGCAGCATCATCATCCTCCGATGACAGTGATGATGATGGTCCACCAGCTAAAGTAACCAAGAAAGAAAAATCTGAAAATGAGCAGGTAAAATATTTTTATTAACAATACATATCTATATATCTTTTGTCTTATTTTTTATACTGTGCACAAAAGGACCTATGCAAACATTTTATTGCTGAAACTAGCGATTTATTTGATTAGATCATTACTACACTTTGACAAAGTTGCAAACATGTATTACATTAATACACTTATACACACTACTGCAGCCTTTTTAGCGCTAGTCCTCTACAATTCAACTGAGATAGAGAGGCACTTTATGGTGCTTTAATGCCTCACTAATGAAGCCCAGAACAGAGAGTTAAAAGCATTGGCCATATCTAAGGACACTGCTAACAGCACTTCAAGCTGGGCTATTGTCTCATCTGAGTGCTATTGATTACATTCATTGAACATACCACTTAGAAGAACTGTTCTTCCAAAAAATTGGTACCTACCTCCCTGATATGCCTGATAAGGCAATCAGCAGTAATTCCTTCTATAAGCTTGCTAATGTTTTGGGGAACCAAGTTTCTGATAGAGTCTGGAATCCCGTCTAGCTTTTGATCTTTGTTTTTTTTTTTGATTGGATCTTAGAACAGCTGCATTTACATTTGTGATACATGTGGCACATCAATATACAGTTTTGGTGTACCTTATGGGTTGCTACTACTAATGGTGACAATTTGTTTTTTTTTTTTTGGAAAATATCACTACTTCTGGAAAAGGGAGTTGGAGATTAAGTAACTGAAGGTGCTTAAAAACCTGAATCATCTGATGACAGATTTTTAGGCACCAAAAATTGTAGAATTCATACAATTGAAATTCTATTGATTATTATAAAGCTGCCTTCTATGATACTGAGTGTAGTGGCTTCTTGCCTCCATGCACCTATTCAAATCGAATAATGTATTTTCTATTTCCCAAATATTGGTTTTTTGTTTAAATATATTTTCATTGTCCCTTGGCAAATATTTAAACTCTCCTGCCATGTGGTGGTATAAGAGAATCCACTACCTCATATCTTCCTGTAGGTGTCTTAAGAGGCGACAGAGAACAGAAGAAACAGGAGATGGGCATCTTTAAGATAACAACTCAAATATAGGCAACTATGAGGGAATCTATGGGCAGTCTGATGTTCAGCAATGGACTTTTATTGGAGATGAATAAAGATCTTAGGTGAAAGTAATATACCTATATACTTACAACATTATAGCTTTTTTAATGCATTACAAATTTCAGTTCATTGTAAAACAAGTTAAATAGAAAATGTATTAATTAAATAATAGTATTTATAACAAGATGAAGAGAGATCAGTTTCTTACTATTTGTAGAGCCAGGTTCTTACAATTTGTAGTGTATTAGGAAATTACCTTACACAATTTCTCAACACCACCAATACCAGGTGTATTATCAGCTCTAATTGCAAATAAGTGTCATGGTTTTTAAAACTAACTCACTTCTTCAATCTCACCCTGGCCCAGGATGAGGGTTCAACCACACTCGGACGATAAGGGCCTGCATTGGAAGTGCATATGGGACAACTGGCACTCAAGGTTCTTTATGTAAGGTTCTTTATCTTACTGTTCAGTACACAGCATGCCACTGAAGGGGTTTGCAAACATTCATACTAGGTTGCCCCCGTCATCACATGTGTGACACTTAATTAAGGACTTTCAGCTTGGTTCACATTGATCATGTAAACAAACCAAGCAATAAAATACCAGAATTAAAAAATTAAATATCACCAGAATTTATTGGCTATTATGAATGACCAATGATGATATTCTTTCACTAAAACAAAGTATTAATTTGAACTTTTTGTCTTATGCATCTTTCTTTTATCCCACCTTACTATATACTCTTTAACCCCCATCCCGCGCGCTTCAATGCTGTTTGAATTGTATGTTTCGAACTCCGCAATATAGTGATTAGCAACAGTCGACAGGTATGTGTGCCATGAGGTACCATGTATCTATTTATTCATTTTATTAGGTTCACCAATAGAAATGACAGTAGTTGTACAAATAATATACATGATAATTAAACACTCATGATAATTGTATTTCTTTTTATAGGTAATTACAACATGCATTAATTTTATTCTATGACACTAAATGTAAGTGTAAAAAAATATTAGGAAATTTAAATTTAAAGAATAAATTAATATAATTAAAAAGGTATAAAATTAATTAACATTATATCATTAAATTATTACTATACCTATTAAAAGTTGTGCATGATTATAGTACATGTATTAGTTAGTAATATTGAACAGACTAGCATTACATTGATAAAATTATATTTAATTGTACCTCCCGTTTATAATTTTTTAATGTTAAATAACCGTGAGTAATTTGCGTGTCTTATGGTTACGATACCACACCACAGGACTTTATAGGTAGTAGACTCTTACGTTGTCACTACCACGGTGTTGTAAGAGACACAAAAATGTGGGTACAATTTGTACTTGTAAACCTATTTATCAATCACCAAAATTTATTAATAAGCAAGGTGCACCCATGAGTATTAGTAATTCTGCCTTAAATTACCCTTTAAATAATAATAACTTTTTTACAGACTGCACAAAATGGTTTCCAAAGTGGTAAAAAAAGAAAAGCATCTGGTGGTGATCCAACTCCAGCTAAAAAACCATATAGTAACTTTGTAAAGGTAAGTTTGTTAAGGTAGTTAACATGTAGACAAGCTTCAGATTTCCATCACAATGTACCATGTATGAAAAGTTATAACAAAAAGTATAAGAGGGTTTGCCTTATTATTACTTGTCTGCTTACATAGATGTAGGTTTACATATCTAATTATTGTCACTTCCCTATACAGGTAGTTTTACGGAAAACTACTTAGTTGTTGATGACAAGATCGTCGGATCGTGATGTAAACCAACACGCCTGCGATCTCTCACTGGTCTAGTCAGTTTACCGTCCCATCGGATTATGAGAGTGAGGGAATAGAGAGTGCACCTGTGCTTGCTTGCACATACACTTGGGCACTATAATCCTGTCCTGCGCCGATGGCTAGCGTCCGCTGAGGCAGGCCGCCGTAGCCGAAATTCGGTCTATAGAACATTATTGTTATTATTAACCTCAAATGTTTAGTTTTCAATATTTTCTTTCAACATGTATAATATTACTACCGCGCTTAATCTACTGTTTCCTATTATATTACCTGGCGAAAAAGGATCAATAATTATTTTTGTGAAGGACACTGGAATGTCAGACCAACATAGAAGTATAGATGGAACACTACATACATTTCAAGTGATGCCGAATTCTCACGTTAAAACCAATCATCAACACCCAATCTCATACACTAGGATACAAAATCATTTTGCAAGCAACAAAATGGTTTTTGATTTATGTAGACATCCAATAGTGGCTTTTATGCACAGTTAAAGAATGTCAAGAAGTTGAGCATGGCATGGTTTCGGCATCTTCTAGCTTTCTTTGTTGGTCAGAGACTGAAAGATAATAATTGTGATACCTTCAATATAGCTCATTTATCATTTAGAAATAACTTTGTGGTTTATTTCTACTGAAAATTTAAAAGAACACTTTCATTTATAATAGAGGACATTAAAAAAATATATTGTAGAGAATCAAATAAAATTATTCCCTTTAAGTACAAATGTGTAGTTGTAGAATTTATTTTTGAGGTTAGTGAAAGTTTTGTATAATAATTTGTTCATTCATTATTATTTCTTAGGTAGTATGATGATTCCTGAATTTCAAAGAATACAAATTAGAAAATATATATTTTCATATTAATTTTACATTATTAATCATCCAGGCAGTAGTAATTCTAGTAGGGTGAATGGATTTACATTGCCCACAAAATCGATTGACAAGTAATCCAGAGTATTTGCTCCACCTTATTATAGTTTTTTCATTCAATAATTTTAGGGTTCCAAAGTAGTTTCTACACCCTGTGAAAAGGATAATGAAGCAAATACTAAACCTACTCCATTCAGACGCGTTGTACCTGAAAAAATTGAAGTGGACCCTAGACTTAAGGATAATTCGTTTGAAGCTAAGGTAAATGCCCTAAAATTTTTGAAGCCAAGGCAACTCCATGTTTCACAATTGGATAAGAATAAACTATGGCTCAGTGGCTCATAATTTCGGGCATTTACTTTTATATTGTTACTTAGACATAACATTGAGTTGTCTTGGTATTTATACATTTATCTCTCAATCAGGAGGGCGAGGACCAAAATGGTGAGGAAGAAGATGTCGAATCCGAAAATAACAAATCGGGCAGTTGGCAAGATCGGGGGCAAGGCGGGTTTAATCGTGGCAGGGGAGGTCGTGGTGGTTTTAAAGATAGGGGGGTAGAGGAGGCTTTAGAGGTCGAGGAGGTTTCAATGATAGAGGTGGAAGGGGCGGATTTGGCGATAGAGGTGGAAGAGGAGGATTTGGCGATAGAGGTGGGAGGGGAGGATTTAACGACAGAGGTGGGCGAGGAGGCAGAGGAGGTCGGGGTGGTGACAGGGGTGGATGGGGTAACCGCGGCGGTCGTGGTGATCGCCATTCTTGGGGTGGGGATAAAGGAGGATTTAATAAGGGTGGATTTAATGACAGGAAAAGTTTTGAAGGAGGAGATAATTCACAAAATAAAAAAATTGTGTTCGATTAATTAGGTAAGATATTTGATTTTTTATTTACTTTTAGAAATTATAATGTATAATTTTCCAAAATATATTTTATAATATACAGGGATATTTTACAATGTAAGCCCAAATTTGCAGTGAAAAAATATCTGATATATTCATTCTGCCCGTCATTCGATCCATTAAAATTATTTGAACTGATTGTCATTCATAGATATCTAACGCTTGCTATTTTACTATGTACGCACACATTCGTAAAGGTCGCTCGGTGAAGCCACCTTGTGGCGCGTCTTCCATTCGGCAGGCCTCTGACACTTGCTATCTGCATGATAAAAATACCTATAAGCGTGATTGATGTATATATTGCCGTGTAGTGGCGGTTGAGAATATCCACTACCCCATATCTTCCCGTGGGTGTCGTAAGAGGCGACAGAGAGACACAGAAAGGAGATGGGCAGCAGCGTCTTCTTAATAACAACAATAACATAATAAAAAACTGTGGTTGCCAACCCGCTCGCCAAGCGTGGCAACTATGGCAAATATCCCCCCCAGAGAACGACAAATAAATGGCCCCTAGTCCCCGGCGGCCCCGCTATTCCTGGCTACGGTGGCGACCATGGTAACGGCGGGGCAGGGGGTGCTAAGAATCTCCGGTGGAGGTTCGGTTGCCACCTACGACGACTCGACCTGGCAACGTATATCGCACGCACCCTGAGGACTGACGAGAAGATACTGGAGCTGGAAGAAGAGGTAGACAAGTTGCGCTGGCATATTATTGGATTATCTGAGGTCCGAAGGAGGGGGAGGACACGGTAATCCTCGAGTCCGGCAACTTATTCTACCACCGGGAGGGCGACCATCTGTCCCAAGGAGGTGTCGGATTTATCGTCCACAAGTCTCTCGTCAACAACGTCGTAAAGATTGGGAGTGTGTCGACTAGGGTCGCGTACCTGATACTCAGAATCACCAAACGGTATTCGCTGAAGGTCATACAGGTCTACGCACCAACCTCGGCACATCCCAATAAGGAGGTGGAAGAAATGTATGAGGATATTTCTAGAGCCATGCATTCCTCCAAAACCCACTACACGGTGTTGATGGGAGACTTCAACGCAAAACTAGGCACAAGAGAAAGAGGTGAGCTGAAGTTAGGGAAATTTGGGGTAGGGCATTGGAACCGTAGGGGCCAGCAGCTGGCTGACTTTATGGAGAAAGAGGGACTCTATGATGAACTCTTTCTTCCAGAAGCGGCCCCACAAGAAGTGTACCTGGTCGAGCCCCGACGGTTCGACAAAAAATGAGATTGACTTCATTATGACGACCAGACACCAACTGTTCAGTGATGTCTCAGTGATCGCAAGGGTGAAAACCGGCAGCGATCACCGAATGGTTAGAGGCACACTGCACCTAAAAGTTAAGTTGGAGAGGTCTCGTCTAATGAAGTCAACGCTTCGTCCCCCTCGTGCTCTAATCTAGAATCCCGAGACTTTTCAGCTCGAGTTACATAACCGCTTTCAGTGCCTAGAAGATTGCAATGCAGTGGACGACATGAATGACAAGCTCGTGGAAACTGTCCATGCGGTCGGAGCTAAGTTCTGCAAGACCCGCCGCAGAAAAACAGAAAAACTCTCCGATCACACTCTTAATCTCATGGTTGTTAGACAGGAGATGAGGCTGCAATCGTCAACAGATTTGACATCATACAGGCAACTGAACAGACAGATCTCCAAATGCATGCGGCGAGACTTACGCAACTTTAATACTGCTCGTATTAAAGAAGCGATCGAGCGGAACCAGGGCTCCAAAGTGTTTGCCAGAGATCTGTCTGCCAGAAAGAGCCAACTGTCAAAGCGAAGCAAAGAAAGAGAAGACTGAGTGTGGCAGCATCATTTCCGGAACACCTGAGATTTTGAGTGAGATTGAGATTCTATGGGCAGCTGTACACATCATTGTTGGAGCCACACGCAAGTGTGAATAACGATACAAGAGCAAGTCTTACCCGACACTATTCCGATGATATCCCGGACGTCAGTCTGAGCGAGATTAGAATGGCTCTCCAGCACCTTAAAAACGGCAAGTCCCCGGGCGAGGATGGAATTACAGCGGAGCTTCTGAAAGCGGGTGGAACACGAAGCGAACACGAGCGGTGGTACTTAAGTCCTTCAGAAGCTCTTCAATTCCGTCCTCCATGGTGGCACTACTCCAGAGGCGTGGAGCAGAAGTGCGGTGGTCTTGTTCTTTAAGAAAGGCGACAACGCTCTCTTGAAGAACTACAGACCGATTTCCTTTCTGAGCCGCGTCTACGTGCTGTTTTCGAGAGTCATTACGAATCGTCTCGCACGCAGACTCGACGACTTCCAGCCTCCCGAACAAGCAGGTTTCCGAAAAGGCTTCAGTACCATAGACCACATACATACCCTGCGGCAGATTGTACAGAAGACCGAAGAGTACAATCTGCCACTTTGCCTGGGGTATGTGGACTATGAGAAAGCCTTTGATTCCGTCGAAATTTGGGCGGTGCTACAGTCCCTTCAGCGGTGCCAAGTTGACTGTCGGTATATGGAAGTGCTGAAGTGTTTGTACAGTAGGGCTACGATGGCTATCCGAGTACAGAACCAGAGCTCGAAACCTATCAACTGCAGAGAGGTGTAAGACAGGGTGAAGTTATATCCCCGAAACTCTTCACCGCTGCTTTGGAAGACGTTTTCAAGCTGCTGGACTGGAAAGGATACGGTATTAACATCCAATGGCGAGTACATCACTCACCTTCGATTTGCACGATATAGTCCTTATGGCAGAATCGCTGGAGGACCTAAGCACTATGCTCAATGACCACAATAGTGCCTCCTAACGGATAGGTCTTAAGAATGAACATCCGTGACAAAACGAAGATCATGTTTGCATGTCACACCTATGCCGGTATTTGTTAGAAGCACTAAGCTCGAAGTTGTTGACGAGTACGTTTACCTGGGACAAATATTCCGACTAGGTAAGTCCAACTTCGACCGAGAGGTCAATCGACGGATTCAACTCGGCTGGGCAGCGTTCGGGAAATTACGACACATCTTCTCGTGAGGTATACCTCAATCTCTGAAAACTAAAGTGTACAACCAGTGCGTGTTGCCAGTGATGACTTACGGATCAGAGACGTGGTCCTTCACTGCTGGCGTATGAGGACGCTCAAGGTCGCTCAGCGAGCTATGGAGAGGGCTATGCTCGGAATTTCTCTGCGTGATAGACTCAGAAATGAGGATATCCGCAGTAAAACCAGAGTGACCGACATAGCCCAACGGATTAGTAAGATGAAGTGGCAATGGGCCGGCCATATAGCTCGAAGAACCGATAACCGATGGGGAAGAAAGGTTCTCGAGTGGCAGCCTCATACCGGTAGGCGTAGTGTAGGGCGACCCCACACTAGATGGAGTGACGACCTGGTAAGACATACAGGAAGTCGATGGATGCAGGTGGCTCAGGACCGTGCTTTGTGGAAGAAGAACACAAAACGTTACTAGGGGGAGTCCTATGTTCAGCAGTGTACTTGTGAAGGGCTGTAATGATGATGATTATAAAATAAAAAAAAAAAACTATTTGTATATATATATATATATATATATATATATATATATATATATATATATATACGCGATTTAGGCGAGCGACACTTGCGATTTTAAAGTTCTTAACCTTGTTTACGTAAATATATTTTTTGTATTCACTTTTAGACATAATATTAAGTTATAGGATAAAATAGTTGCATGAGTTTTAGTTTAGAAAATACATTCATTAATAATTATGAAAACATAGTAAATTTAACAAATAATTTCTTAAAACTAATAACGTATATTAAGTTTATTACTTAGTGTAAGTAATTTCTCTCCCAGTATTTACTTAAAATTATACGTCAGATTTAGAGTTTTTTCCACCCTCAAATTTAATAACCGTTATTTTAGAGACTAAAAAAATATAAAACAGTATTAAAAAAAATTATCATTTATATAAAAATTAAAATAATAACAAAGAAGTGCAACTACTGTACGTAAGTGCTTTCGATTTATATGAACGTGCTCACGACCGGCCGGCTGCTGATAGTGTTGAGGCAACAGTACGAGTGTGCTATTTTTAAGTTTTTTTAGGTAGTATCACTTCTTTACTAATGACGGAGCGAAAATATTCGAACCGCGAATACTATGAAATAGTGCTGTGTTACATTTTAAATAATGAAAATTTACGTGGAAGACAATAAGATTATTATACTATGATAGTGATATCGCGGCAAAAAATTAACGTACGTGTCCTAATTGTAAAACAATTGACAGCTAATCAAACTATTCCAGTGCAGTGAGCGATAATTTAAATAATGAATATGTGGATAGATGGATTGCGCATGGAGGCCCTATACTATGACCTGCAAACTCGCCGCGGACCTTTCACCGTTTTAGACTTATCTGTGGGTGAAATAAAGAGCCGTGTTAACGTGAAAGAGGATCAGTTATGAAAAACGCTCTAGCAAAATTATTACTGCATTCACGGAAGTTAAAAGTGTGTAAGCACTTTAGGTAATAAGTGTAAAAAATATTGAAGTAAACATGCTCGTCTATGCATGGAGAGAAACGGATTCCATTTTGAGGTACCAATATTCGTTATTGGGACTATTTTCGTAATTTAATTGTAAATAGTTTATTCCAATTTTTTAAATACGCTATAATAATGAGTCATCGGTTACGTCGTTAATAAACAAAAAAAAATATAATTTTAGTTATGACGATCCTAAGCCCGTTAAAAGTGTGAAAGGAAAATTGGAATCACAATTCGCGTCACTTAATCAATAGAAGTGAGGGTGTTACTAAGAAAGTTAACAGTAGACAAAAACTTTGTGAATTCGAAACGAATTCGAGCGTATGTGTTGTTATTGCTCACAACTCACATTCAATTTGGTTTTCAAAACCTGCAATAACGATGTATCTTTATATATTTGAAATTAAATATAAAATTTGGTTGCGTTTTGAAAAATAACCCTGTATATGTATAATTTACCACTTTTTTTTAATTATTTTATAACCTGTTATTAATATGGTTAAAAGACGAAAGTGCTTAAAAGAAAGTGGTGTAAAAATAAAAATAAACGTATTGCATTATAATATCAGGTTCTAAAGAATAAAGTAACATTTTGTTTAATGAGATCGAAATAGTATAAAAGTAGACATTTGTCAAAATAAGTTATACATAAAATTATAATATATATTGTGTGTGTAATCAATAAATATATTTATTTCAAGAGTGGAGCTCGTGGATCGTGGGGTGAACGTGCTAATCTAGACTTGAAGCACACACGTGGCAAGTCTTTCAAACATGAGAAGACAAAGAAGAAAAGAGGTTCTTACCGTGGGGGTGCTATAGACACAGGAGTCCATTCTATTAAATTTGAAGATTAAAGCTATGTAATGTCAATTGCATTTATATAAAAATTATACCTAAATATCACTATTATATACAAACCTCGTCTTTTCAGCAGCAACAATAGACTTAAGTTTTTATTTGCAGTCATATAATATTGGATATATTATATGAAATAAAATGTTTCCTACAAAAAGCTATTGAATCTTGACTACCCACCTACCATGATATATTTTCCACAGATTTGTTTACCTTCCTTCATTGGTTATGCAAGGTGGTATTGTTCCCTGTTTTCTTTTGTAATTTAACTATGGTGTTTTGTGACCATATGACAGTGTTTGTTTGTATTTGTTTTGTATATTGATTACAAACATGCGTAATTAATTTAGGTGGCATTACATATTACCTAAATTATTATTATAATATAGATTTGACTTCTGCAAATTAATTGTACCAAGCTAGTTATGATTTGTTCATCTTATAAATGGATCTTTATATTATTTTATGTAAATAAATTTATACTTTAAGTATATAAAAGTATGTTTTGTAAATAAGTTATAGTTAATTTAGGAAACTGCTTTTTATGCTAGTACTGACATTAGTTTGTGGATTAGTTATATTAAGTCTAACATAAGGCCGCCTTTAATTATATGTTTGAACAATTATTTGTTTTTTTTTTCCTGTATCATATGCGCATTTATGTTTTCTAATGAACTTTTTTCACTATCTTGATCTTACGGTGATAATAAGAAAATTAAATGCAAAATCAGTCACATGAAAATTGGCGCAGGTTTAATGTTTAAAATTAATTTGATGTGATGTGGTATAATTATTAATGTACATAAGAGGTATGTATCTATGTATAGATAAAGTAATATAACCTATTAAAAAAGCTAATTTACTTAAACAAACGCATATACCTACTAATTTATTTTACAAAAAGAGAAAATAAAACGAAAAAAGATTGCTAGCAAAATGTTATGAAGGGTATGTTCCAAAATAGAACTCAATGTACTGTCTAATACAAATAACGTCATGAATCGACGCTATACTGGTGATTCGTTCCAAAACATTGGATAGTATATGACGTCATACATTTACGCCATTTGGAAAGTGTTGGCGATTATTTTGTGCTCCAAAAATCATATCCTCTTAGTGGATATACCAGCAATTATTCTATATTTTTTTGTATATTTGAATAAATAGAAACAAATTCTGGCATGCTTCATTCACCGCACACACTTAAAAATTGTTTTATTATGGCCGGATATCGGACACAATATGGCGGCGGCACGCCAGTACAATAAAGTGTCAATTGATGTCATTTGTATTCGGCAGTATACTGAAAACGTTTCGGAACATACCCTAATACCCCTATTACACCACCCTTAATCAGGGCACTGAATGAAGGGTGGGCGTGGCCCCTAGTTAGGGACGTCAGTCATTACACTATAATATACCCTGATTTTACGCCCTTTCTCAGTCATAGGGATGGACAAGTGAAAAAAGTATATATATTTATTGAATCGATATTTTTAAAGTAATTGTAACAATTCATTTACTGTGTTTCGCTTTCGTCCTGCTGACTCTAGTTGCGTAACTAGTTTTTTCGAGTTGTGTGAATTTCAACTTGAGTTAACTCGAGTCGTAATTTTTTTATAAGTAAGCACATCTATAGGATACAACATCGCCCATTAAAAACATCAAAGCTTATGTACGATATATCGATTTTTTCGACGTTTTTATCATCTTTTAAATATATACATACATAAGGAATAAATAATCATTTTGAACGAAAATGAAACAAATAAGTATAATAATTAAACATTATATTTATGTTGTTTTAGGAAGTTTTACACTATTTATTTTTAAACATTTAATTTTATCGAATAATTATCGGAAAAGAAGTATTAATTAAATATTTATTTTACGTTTATTTCTTTCGAATTGAATTTTTTAATAACAATTTTGACAACCTGGTGCCTAGTCTTGCGTGATTGTAGATCCAGCCTCTGAAAATAACCGCTCACGGGATACCAAGTTGCCACGATAGGCAAATAGATCTTATCTAGGCTTTGAAGCCCGGAAAATAACCCTTTCATGATATCCCACATGTAATCTATGAAACTCGTCTTCTGCTTAATTTTATTTCTTATGATGTGGTGTGTTATTTTTTTATGGTAGTTCCATATGTTACCTTCAGTATTATCGCATTTTCTGTTTACATCTACGAAACTATACCGAAATACAATGATGAATAACCGTTCATCCATAAAAACTAATATTTCAGAAAAATTATTGTAACGAAATAAAAAGTACCGTAAGCCGATAAAATAATTTCCATTACAAAATAACTATTAACTTATAAGACTGTACTTAAACTTTAATTAAGTTAAAGCTCAAACAATATAAATATTAATAAGAAAATGAATAAAACAATTTCAATCCATATTCAATATTTTTAAAGTTATTTTAATTAATTATCACAATAAAAATAACTATAAGTTTACATCGAAACTGGAATTACCGATAGAAGACAATTGTACTTCTGAAGTTCAAATATATTTATTTTCGGCTGAAAGACCATTCGCCTGTTTGTTGATTCGTAATTAAAATTTTCGGGATTGAATTATTTCTGCCAAATACTCGAAAACCTTCTAACTTTAAAAATTTAGGCGTTATCTAACTTTGACATATTTTGTTTCGAATATTTATTTTTTGGCAACATAAAATTCGTCATAATCATCGTTCGCAACTTTTAATATACGGAATTTTATGCATTTGAATAGTTGGTTACTTCGTAACCTTTGACGGCAAAACATCGTTCATAAAACATAGCTCATGAAGAACCATGTTTATATATCGTATATAGATATATCGATGTTTGAAAGAATTGATGTATCGCTTGCATCCCTAGTCGCGCATCGAATAAGTGCCGCCCTAACTTCCTTAGTGTTATTACACTTCACGCTGGAGGGGCACTGCAGACAGGGTACACTTTGACGCCCTAATTAGGGACTCCCTTTCTCTTATTACACCACCCTGAATCAGGGCATAGGGAGACTGATTCTGGCTATTGTAATAGAGGTATAAAAGTCAACAATGTCTCAAACAAAGGCGGTTGCGAAGCCCGGCGGTGGGCGTCTCCGACTCGGCCCGATCGTCCTGACTTAGCAAGTGTCGTGTGCGTGCTGTGCGTACGAATCGGTACTGTCACGTGCCAGGCACGCACACATAGATAGATAGATAACTCTTTATTGCATTTGAACAAAGTTATTACGATAACGGAACACTTATGAACTACAAGCGTGGTAATATCGCTTTAATTTATAACATTGACGGCGTTCGGTAAATTTGTTAGAAGATAGCCTATCTGTTTTTACTGTGGCTAGGCTCCTTGGAATATATAAAGATAACATGATATAAAAGCGGCTAAAATGGGGCAATTGTGCGATGCGGTGTGGAGCGAGAAACAGGTGGAGCGGCTGTTGCCGCTTGGGCACTGTCCGCTAGGGTTGTCCTGTCACACAAATAAATTAAAATGGCGAAATTGTGGGTCTTATAAACAATTTTTATTATTAGCCAGGCTGCCAATGATATGCCAGGCTGAAAGCCGAATTAGAAGCGCGCATTAAATACGAACCGAACAAAAGCAGCCGCAGCTTTAGCTATATCACAATTGGAGTTGGCACGCCTCTATCGGGAAGAAGAGATCGACTCGAGCGAAGATGATGAAGAGCGGAATACGCAAGTGGAACCTTTCGTGAGGAGTTGCACGCAGACTTATATGGCAGAAAAGGAAGCGTCCAAGGGATCACGCCGCTTAGAAGCAGGGGTCGAGCACGACCAAGGAAAGAACATGCGAGTGAGGTGTCAGTGTTGACCGACGCGATTGTGAGTGCGATTAAAATTTCGGTTAAAGACAAGACTTCCCCGCCTCATTTCCTCTATAGTTCATAGATTATACATACACCCGCGTCTCCACTGGTCTTCAGTGGAGACGCGGGTGTATGTATAATTTTCAAGACAGTTTTTGAGGACACACGTGAACATTTTTCAGGTTTGCTCACAGAAATAGTAAAGACAATAGAAATGAATTAGCGCTCGATTACTTCCAAAACTGATGTCGCCACATCTTACCGTGTTATAAACATACGCAATGCACAATGATATCTAATGTTTCACATTACATTGCTTGGCGAGTTTGGCACCGTCGCGTGCGTCGCGTATTACGATTGAACAAAAGCAGCAATGGTATTGTACGATACTAAAAGTAAACGAAAGTTTACAAAGATAAATATCATAGAGAAGTATTAATCTAGGTATAAATTAGTTAAAAGAATGATAATTAGTAAATAATCAACTTACCGATAAAATTTTATGGCTTTATTAGCTGAATTACACGTCCTTGATGAGTCTTTACAACTGATTATGCAGCAGTTCACCATTATAAGTTTATAATAACATAAATTCACGTACGGAGTTCCCCGCGCAACTAAATTACAAAATGGTGAATGATGTTCGTCAACAAATCATAGCGGCGCCAAGGTCACGCGTCTATGCGACTTCTATTGTCTTATTATTACGATTTCTGTGGGTTTGCAAAATGTGGAACGCCTTAAGAGTGCAATAAGTGGCACCGCTAAGGAAGCGGTAAGATCATTGTTGTTTACATTGTGTGAACCGGAGGAAATTATGAAGGCGCTTGAAAGATTTGATAGTTAAAATGCTCATTCTATACGAAATCGAGAATGTGAAGCGAATGCCAAAGCTGCAGAATAGAAAAGGCAGAAATATCGGCACTTTCGCTAGTCGCAGTATGATTATGGCTGCATCAATTCATGTGTCGAAACAACTAGTACCTACAATATTTACACTCACCCGAGTTTTAAATTTAAATGATTCTAATATCGAGTTCCATATCTTATGGAATCGGAGCTACAAAAAAATATCAAATTTTTTAAATTCGTTTAGTGAACAATTTGGTCATCAAAAAATCATTCAACGCAGATAATGTGCCTGAAAAACGGATACGTCC